CTCAAAGTCTCTAGGTGCCGCATGCCCCTTGTGAGGGGTGGAGGGCAAGGACAGCAGACTTTGTGCATTATCCCCACTCCCAGCACAATCATCACAGCTCCCATTGGCCGGAAACCAGTAGGAGCTGCGAGGATTGTGCTGGGGGCAGGGGCAGTGCTTGAAGTCTCCTGCCTTCTGCACTGTGGAGCAGAGAGGTACATGGCTCCAGTAGCCAGCTGCTTTAAATGGTGTGGGGCCAAGGTAGGGAGGGAGCTGCCTAGGTAAGCACCTCCCGGCCAGAACCTGCATCTGACACCTCTTCCTCTCCCACAACCCAACTCCTTGACCCAGGTCACCATCCAAACCCTCTGCACCCCCCCTCTCTCAGATCACAACTGCCTCCCCCAGACCCTTCATCCCCTCCTATGCCTTCCCCCAGGCCAGAATTCACTCCAGCACCCATACCCCCTCCCTGACCCTGCACTCTAATCCCCTACCCCAGATCATAAGCCCCTCTTTCATCCAAAATCCCTCTGAACCTCTCTTGCACCTCAGTCAACTTATCCCAAGCTTCCTTGTGTGCTCACCCTACCTCCTTCCCAGACTCTGCATAGGAAAGTGTGGCCCTTGAACACTTCCCAAAATATTGGAGTGGCCCCCTATAAAAAATTATTGCCCACCTCTGGACTAAAATGGTCATGATGGTTCCTTCTGACTTAAATTCTATGAGCTTGATTCCTATTCACTATTTAGGTAGAGTAGCTGCTTACGGATGATTCAATCTCCCTGGAATGATTCAGAAAGCTGTCTATAGTGAAGAAGCACTTGCATTGCAAATTACCTTAGCTATGCTGCACCCTCAGTTTTTTTGTTTTTCTAAGTACTGTTTTATATAACAGTGTATTTTATAAGCTATATCCCAAAGGTCTTTAGCATTAGAGGCAAGGGAGAAGTGTTCCTAGCCAAACCAATGGAAGTGGAGTATCACAGTAGACTTCTGAAAACATGAGACCAGAATGGAAGACCAGAAAGTCAATACTAGATGTCCATACGTAGAGGAGAGTGGAGAAACAAGACCTGTGCACCAATCTATCACAAATCCAAAGTGATTTTATTTTATTAGCAGTCCACTTGAGCACCAAATTAATTTGTGTGTTCCTAAGGCTGCAAAGTTGTAACTTTTCTTTCAGTTGTCCTTTGTTTGTGTTAGGTATAACACTTAGAATTTGCTGTCATTTCCTTGACTACTATTGGAGAACGGCGGAAGGAGAAGAGCATAAGAATTTTATATTTGCTCCTTTCATCAGGAGGAAGAAGCCAAAGATAAAGCATGACAATATAAAATGGCATTGTGTTGCCAGGCCGCATGAATATGATATAAAATTACTACAGAGGCAATGAAAAAAAAAAGTTTAGGCTGTATTCCTTGGTGTGCTTTCAGCATGAATTAAAAGGCTTTTTACAGAGTCATTTGCTGAAGCCTGGCAAAATGAAACGTGTTTGCAATTTTAAACCTTTGATGAGATGTCTTGGGTGTGGGGAGGCAGATCTGGGAAAGGAATCAATCTTATCAAGAAACCAAAGAGAATGGACACACTGGCACAGCAAGAAAGTGCAGACTATCAAAAAGCATAACTCCGAAAAGGCACAATGAACACAAGATGTGCTTGTTTAGGTGCGAGTCAGTCAACAGAACAATTCCATAGCTATAAAAGAACAAGAGAGACAGCAGGTTGCTAACTTATCTAAATTGAACTAGTTTGGAAGCTGGTAACAAAAGACAGGTGCAAATACTGATCATCCCAGAGTACTGGAGGGACTAACACTCACTGATCAGGATATGTGAGCCTCAATATAAGACAGTGTCTCTTTAATTATGATTGTTAAGAGCCTTTTATACTACAATGTAGGTTATAATGCATTTCCATTTGATAAACAAGATGACAAACAATGAAAATAGTGAGATGTGTATAAGAGGGCACATGGGGATTTTAGGGATGCACCACATTGAATTCCTTTCAATTGTCAGGGTCTGAAGTAGTTCAAAAGAAATTAGTGGAGAGCTTCTAGCTAACTTATTTGGGGATCCTGTTACAAGCACCACTGGAATCTACAAGTCTCAGGTATCTAAGCTGGCAACAGGCTCAGGCAGTTATGCTATCTGAAGCTCCTCAATTCCCTTAACACCAGCTGGACTACTGAAGGAAAGTACTGGGGGTTACATCCCAGTTTGTGGTTCATGGAATAAGCCTATCAAGAAAAAAAAAGAATCAAAGAGAAACACTCTGCAGAGTTACTCTCGGTAAGGTGATGAACATTAGTGGCACATTAGATAGAAAACCTGAGTCCAGAGTGTTTTCTATCAGAGTTGAACTAGCCACAACCTAACTTCTAAAATCAGACTCAGTAGCTTCCTATATATAAACTGTACAGACACTTTGCTGATGGGTGTAACTAAAGATTTTGAAAGTCTGTGTCTGCACAGCATCTAGCACAATGAGACACCAATCTAGTCTGAGGCTTTTAGATTCTACTAAAATGAAAACACTCTTCCTGCTATCACACAAGCAGTTAGATTTCTTTCATACTCAAATAAGAATTCAAGAATTCAGATTAATTTAGTAATCCATGAAAGCGCACAGACTGCATCAGTAAATCAAGAGCGTTTCAAAATAAGGATCTCAAAGTTCCTTGAGTACAGCCACTTAAGAAGTTTTAAACTAAAGTTAGTTTCCTTCCAGCATCTCACACAAGTTAATATAGTTTTCTTCCTTAATGTAATAGGCCAGTCTTAAGCATCTGATTTTACATCTCTTGTTTAAAAGTTATGCCACCTTGCAGATAGCACAGTAAGTAAAGTTTTGGCCTTATACCTTAATAAAATCTCACTCCTGAAATTAACAGATGCTAGTTTTGCAAGCCTCCCTCTCAAAGAAGAACTGGCAAGAGCCAGTATGCCATCGCTTTCTTATTTAACTGACTGCTATAAGAGATCTGCTTCGCTCAACATTTAGATTGTTTCACCCATCTTGAAATGACAACTGCAGGCACCATGACAAATGGATTGAAGAACTATTATACTGCAAGTTCTAGAAGCGTCTGGGTAGCCTGTCAAAATGCTCAATGACTCACTGAAGTGTAGGA